ATAGAAATTAAACAAATATTTCAAAAATTTCATAAAAATAATTAATGAAAAGAGAAGAAGAAAACGAGAAGAAAAAAAGTAAGCACTTAAAGCAGATCTTTGTGTCGAAACTTTACATATTATCAGAAGAATAACTTTTCCTCATAGTGTTTCTGATTATCTTGGAAATGTTCGAAACGCTCAGTCAATTTCATGAATTTCTAGTGCATGCATCTTTGCGAACAACCGTAATATTTATATCTTTGCGAGCATTCCGTAATATTATTACTAGTAATATTAATATATTATTAGTACTTACCAATCTGCGGGACGTCGTATTGTATGCTTCCCCGGATAGATCTCAGCATGAGCTGCGAGGCGATGCTCGCACCGGCGGATGACGTCGAGGGTGCCGAGGACGCTTGAGCCTGATGTCCCGGGGACTCCCCCTGCGCATCGATCGAACGCCGTTCGATCACGATCTGATTCCGCTTGCTTCCGGGTAACTTGTTTCCGCTAGTCTCGTAAGCGAAGGCCCTCGGTGCGAAGCCGTCATTCGTAGGTAAGTTAAGCGGGGTGCCGCCCTCGGCGCGCGCGAGATCAGTCTTCGTACTCGTCGCAGTGTTAAATCTCTGCTCCGCGTAGAGATCGTCGTGATGCGATTGTCTAGGTTCCTGAATGGTAGCCTTCTTGCCGGCCTCGTCGCACACCAGTATCGGCAGACTGAGCGGGCCCCTCAACGGATGCCGGCATCCGATGCGCCGTTTCTTCGGACGCTGATGGGCCTGCCGGCCGCCGAGCAGATGATTGCCCTCGTCGTGAACGTAGGGCTCCGCGACGTGGGGCTGCGTTGCGGCGTGTGGCTGCGATGATGTCACGTACTCGTTATAGAGGACGTTCAGCATGGCGGGCGACAGAGCAAAGAATACGTTCTGGAGCTCCCGCGGCTCCTTGACGATGTCGTCGATCAGCATACCCGCGGGCGACCACGAGGATAATTGCGGCTCGTCGTTGAAGACCAGCCAATTTGACAGGTCGTCCCGGTGGGGACCATCGGAAGGGTATATCCTAAAATGGAACAAATTTCCACCTACCGAACTCAGCTCGCTCTTCTTTCTAATGCTACCGCTTCCGTGACGATAATCGAGTCCCTGTGTTCCTTGTACTTGTATGATCACGGGTCGATTGCCCACCGCCAGATCCAGCCCCTGTCCCACGTAAGTGAGAAGCCAAAACATGCAAACTGCCATTTTACAAATCATTAACGTCTTCAAATCGCTTTTCTATATCTCTTTTCCTCTCTCTCTCTCTCTCTCTCTCTCTCTTCTCTTCTTCTTCTTCTCTCTCTCTCTCTTCTTC